GGCTGGTTTCGAACTCCTGAGCTCAAACAATCCGCCCGCCTCGGCCTCCCAGAGTGCTAGGATTACAGGCGTGAGCCACCGCGCCCGGCCTCAAAAAGTTTTGAATTAAAACCACTAAAAAAACTAAAATGGCTAAGAAAGAAGACAACTGTCTGGCTCACTGCCTTTAAACAAAAGCATCAATTCTGTCTGAGGTGGTCACCAAGCCTACATACTCATAATTGCTAGTCACATTAATTTACATAGTTCTGAGCTCACACGGAGTATTTCATTTATTAGCCTACTGGAGAGATTGTTGACAACGTCACAGATTTTTTAAAAAATAAAAAACAACTCTGATCACTGGGCAAGATATATCAGCAGTACTGTTAGGACCTTTACACACCTGCGTCTCTCCCTGACCTCTGATGTGGAGGAGACAGTGCCAGCAGTAGTTGTAGTCAGGGTTGTGGTAGAAGCTGCAGCATTTACAACAGTTGGAGCAACAGGAATGGTCACTGCCGTAGGAACACTGTCCTTTTCTTTTTCAGTACTATCCTCAGCCCACAAACGATTTGAGGTACTATAGCATCAGTAAGCAGCAACACAAAAAAGAGAAAAGGAAAACAGCTAAACAATGAAAGCACTTTCTAGCAGCTGAAAACATGTGACTACAGGGATGGATTTTTTTAAAACACAAGGTGAGATATCTCATCTAAGAACCAAAAAGCTCACCCAGAGCTGTCAAAGAGAGAAATTTACATTTTAAAAGCATTCAAATTCAAGGAAAGTTCATAATTCAGGAACTTAATTTTTTTCCCCAGACATGCATAATTGCCTCATTTTAGAACCAATTTTTGTTTGTAAATAATTTTAACAAGGTAAATGAAAAAATCCAGAGCCCCATGATCTTCTAAACAAAAACGCATGCACATACATAAGCACATGATAGACCTGAACACAAAATGTATCTGTGACTTACCTGCTTTGTGTGCCTGCTGAGGAAGAACCCGTTGTAATCTTTGTAGTAGTGCTTGTGCTGGAGAGCAGGCTTTTCTGAAGCCCAGCTGCAGAGGTAACTGTTGGTGTTGATGTGGTGCTTGGAACACTAGAACTAATCAAATCATCTTGTCTTCTACCAAAGGAGCAACTAAACAAAAGAGTCATATCTATGTAGGATGTGTTTGTATGTGTCCTCTATAGTTAATGTCTATACATTATATAAATTCACAAGGCTAGGAAAAAAAATCTAAAAAAACTGTGTTCCTAAATACACCACCAGCTCCAGCACCAAGAGTTGCATCTACAACTTGCTAGAGTTTAAATGATTTCACTAATTTGGTAGTGTATCATTTTATTGCCTCCTCCCAACCCCTTCAACAAGATTGAAAGATAATCTGATCTGGTATTTCACATTTCTGGAACTATTCTAGACCAAACAGTTATTCCAGGCTGGGCCTGAAAAAAACACTTTGGTTTGGTTTTATTTAGGGAAAATAAGATGTTGACATTGTTGAAGAAAATTGTTTTAGCAATGGGTCAGATTCCTAGGAGGGACCCATACCTACATTATACTTGTTCATATCTTATTCTTCTTTTTGGTTGCTCGTAGTAGAGAAATAATTTATAGTTTTTTTTTTCCTCCAATATGATAGTACCAACATTCTAATTGAAAGCATATCTACAGCTCTGAGTTCTAGGGCAAGCAAAAACTATCCAGATCACCAATGATGACTACATCAATTAAGACACTGGCCCATTTAAGTTGTTCTAGTCAATTATTTAAGGAATTCCTATTAAATATGCTGCAATCTAAAAGATATTTCATAACATTTCAAATTTAATTTAATACATAATAGAAAGGTATAAGTACAAGTAAATTATCCCATCTCTTAGTATACATTCTGTGTCTTTAAATCAAGTTTTAAACAACAAAAGATGTAATATTTAACAAAAGCACATATTTACTTAAATGATGTTAAACTGAGGGCTCTAAAAAATTGCCTCATATTTTCATAAAAGAATACATAAAAGCCACTTAAGAATTATATTATTACCTTTTATGGTAAGCTGATCCTTCATTAATTGAGCTATTTTTTTTAAGATCATCTTCCCATTTTCTTCTTGTATAGGAACTACTTGCTCGCAAACTTGAAGAGTCTCTGTGAAAAGAACAACACCCTTCAGATTCTGGTAGATAATTTTTAAAATAGGGTTAAGAAAGCTATACACTAATAAGTATTAGCAGAAGTAGAAACTAGTAAAATCCCTTGGGAAAACACTTTGGAATAGTTACCAAGAAGTTAAAGTAATTCCAAGCCTAAGACTCTATCCTTAAGGTATAATCCTAAATATAGGGGGAAAATTAAGATATTTACAGAAATATAATTTACATCCACAAAATATTAGACAAATTAAGTGTCTATAACATGGGCAAGGGAGATGGTAACTTTAACCTCAGCAGATCTACTCTGTGGTATATTACGTACTGATGAAAAACAATGCTCATTGAAAATATATACTAACATATAAGATTGCTTATGAGATGTTAGGTGAAAAAAAATCATGTAAAATTGGATATGATAACATGATTACAGCTATACTAAAAAGTTCTCAAACTCTTTATGCTGAAAATTAGAAAGAAACAGGCCGGCCGTGGTGGCTCACGCCTGTAATTCTAGCACTCTGGGAGGCCGAGGCGGGTGGATTGCTCAAGGTCAGGAGTTCGAGACCAGCCTGAGTGAGACCTCGTCTCTATTAAAAATAGAAAGAAATTATGGACAACTAAAAATATATATAGAAAAAATTAGCTGGGCATAGT